ACTAAAGGTTGTAGTGATAGTTTACATACTACAGGTTGCAGTGATAGTTTATATACTAAAGGTTGTAGTGATAGTTTACATACTACAGGTTGCAGTGATAGTTTATATACTAAAGGTTGTAGTGATAGTTTATATACTACAGGTTGTAGTGATAGTTTATATACTACAGGTTGTAGTGATAGTTTATATATTACAGGTTGCAGTGATAGTTTATATACTACAGGTTGTAGTGATAGTTTGTATATTATCACTACAACCTGTAGTTTATATACTACAGGTTGTAGTGATAGTTTATATACTACAGGTTGCAGTGATAGTTTATATACTACAGGTTGTAGTGATAGTTTATATACTAAAGCTTGCAGTGATAGTTTATATACTACAGGTTGCAGTGATAGTTTATATACTAAAGGTTGCAGTGATAGTTTATATACTACAGGTTGTAGTGATAGTTTATATACTAAAGGTTGTAGTGATAGTTTATATACTACAGGTTGTAGTGATAGTTTATATACTAAAGGTTGTAGTGATAGTTTATATACTACAAGTGACATCTGACGGTAGTTACTTTAAAACAAGTTAATTTTCTGAGAAAAATATCAACATATTTGTGACATCTGTAGCTACGAAGCGTAACGATGGTGCAACAAATCCACCATGTTAGTGAAGGGTTGCAACTACGTACACTAGCACGACAAGCAAGTATAATTATTGAACTTTTATTATTTTAATGATGTTTTCTTTAAAACAGTAATTTAATTTTCTTTATTTATTAGTGTTACATTACATTTGTGTATTATTATTAGTACCGATTGCGTGGCCCTGGCGAGATTCTTATACAACAGAAGTTGTACTGTAGGTACGGAAACATCAAATATATACTTTTTATGTAACATAAATAACAAGAAATATCAGAGCAGTCGGCTGTTCGATTTTTTATTTACACTCCTGATGGCTCTTGCCGTTAATGACTACTACTACTACTACCAGGACCCGAGCATAATTATCGAACAGTGATCTGTTACAGTTTAATATCTAAATATGCCAATTGTTTTAAAGCTATTGTTCTCTCAAAACGCAGACTTTTTCTGACGTGTCTTTAGGTTTCTTATCGTTAATTAGTCTTTGGATTGGACGAGTGCAGTTTCACTAACTATATTTAAACCTTCAATACCACGCTACTTTTCTTTCATCAAATTTGGTCAGGGTAAGACAGGATATATATATACATATGTATTATTGAGTTTGAAGTTGAAAAGTATGTTAAATCTTATTAAAGTCATTGGGATAAATTCAGTTTATATGTCTGAATATTTTTAAAAATTCCAGATATTAGCTTGGCAACGAAGACAAGAGCTGTCATTGAGAGTATTTTTAATATTTAATGATTTATTAAATATTTTAAATTACGAGTCGTATATGATACACCGTACAGGAAATACGCTAGCGGTAGCACTAGTAGTATCACTCGTATGCTTTTTAATTAAAGATTGATTTTACAAAGTTAAAAGTCTTTAGTTATATACATATATAAACACAAACACATATTCTTCTAGAATTTCAAGCGTCCACTTAAGTTACAGACATAGGTTTATTTTACAAAAACGACAGTAGCAGTCAGAAAATATTTTACGTCAAGCATTTTTTACTCACCATATCCCATTTCAGCCATTCTCTGATTTTTTCATCAAGTTCTACATTTCCTGTGTTAATATTTCCTGTATCTACCATTTTCCTTACTTGTTTAAAAACGCTAAAATTCTTTTCGTAACAGTTCCTCTAACGTTGCAGTAACAGTTATATAAATATATAACTGAATTTGAAGTTATACTGTAGTTCTTATAACAATACGTCTTCACCCACAATTCGTCAGCGGAATTCTGCGGAAAACCTGCAGTTGCGGTGTATACACTAGCGCCACCGTGTTAAAGTGCATGAAATAATGGGCTTGTTCGCTTATTAGGATGCTGTTCCAACTAATATGTCAATAATGAATAAGATCATGGTGTTAGGGAAAAACATAGGTTCAAAAAATCAATTAAGACAAAAATCCAAAACCTTATAACTTGAAAGGTTTCAAAATGTGGACTTTTGTTCATCAGGGGGCTTTTGATATTAATAGAGGTTTGGTCAGGACCTTAAATATTTTTTTATTCATAGGATGGTCAATGATAACCCATTGATGTTGCGCTAGAGGGCGCAAGTGATAATTTCACTTTGTCCCTTTGTTTTGTCCAAAATTTACCATCTGCTCCCCTATCCGATAAACTTTTTCAAGTTTTATACACTTTTGGTTAAAAGGAGGATTGTGTGTGTGAGTTCATTGCTTTTTATCTTTTGTTTTAAGTGGTAGTTTTTGTTGTTTTTTTTTCTGTGTAGTACAGTATTTTTAGTTATGTTTGTTAACACTTGTAAGTTGTATTATATTAAGAGTAACTCAATAAGAAAGTGGCTACCACTTATGTAGATTGTTGCTGGTTCAGTGGTTACTGTATCATCTTACTAATGCTATACGAGTTTTTAGTTTTGCTGGTAAAACGCGTAAAATAAATCGAGACCAGTTGTTCTTCATGATTATAGTTTAATGTAATACCTTATATAGAACGGGAAAAGAAAACCTGAAGTTGTATACCGATTGTAGAACGGTAAAGTATATTTATTTTCATAATATACACTTTCGACTGTATTGTTATTCGAGGTTATTCACACCAATGAATGTTAGCTAATAATAATATATGAACTTTCACTTGTAGGTAGAAAAGAAAGACTGTCATAGTGTCTAGACCACAGCAATGGCAGAACCTGTCAGTTTTACATCCTCAAACTGTAGAAACAATGTAAATGAACGACCCAGTTCGTGCGACAGTAACAGAAACATTGAGGGTACTTCATATGCTAATCCAAGCCCTATAAATTTAGTAACAAACAGTTTGCAGGACATTTCAAGAAAATATGATGGGTTGAATTTTATAGCCACTGGAGCATATGGAACAGTATACAAAGCCCGGGATTTGTTGAATGATGGTCAAACAGTAGCACTGAAAAAAGTCAGGATACCTTTGAGTGAAGAAGGTGTCCCTATGAATACAATTCGTGAAATAGGTCTTTTGAAACAGTTGGAAAGCTTTGAGCATCCAAACATAGTTAGACTACTTGACATTTGTCATGGTTGTTATCACAGACCACAAGGACAACTTGACATCTTTCTTGTGTTTGAGCATGTAGAACAAGACTTGGCCAATTACTTAGAGCAGTGTCCATCTCCTGGACTTGGTCCAGACATCATTAGAGAAATTATGCACCAGCTTTTAAGTGGTGTGGACTTTCTTCATTCCAACCGTATTATTCATCGTGACTTGAAGCCACAAAATATTTTGATAACACGCAACAGACAAGTAAAGTTGGCTGACTTTGGCCTCTCAAGGGTGTATGGACATCAGATTCTTCTGACCCCCGTTGTTGTAACTCTCTGGTATCGAGCCCCCGAGGTACTCCTTCAAGCTAGTTATGCGATGTCAGTAGACCTTTGGAGCTGTGGATGCATTTTTGCAGAACTATTTACCAGGAAACCTCTGTTCCCGGGAAAATCAGACCCTGACCAATTGGGTAAAATCATTGATATTATTGGCACCCCAGATGAGACTGAATGGCCATCTGATGTTTCATTGTCATGGACTTCCTTTCGACATTCCAGAGGTGTTCCATTTGAAAACCTTATCCATGATATTTCGCCAGAAGGAAAAGATTTGCTGCACAAACTTCTAACCTTCAGTCCTACTCAAAGAATTAGTGCTACTAATGCTTTGGCACACCCTTATTTTAAAGAATGTGAATTGTGTCCGTTGAATCGTTAAAGTTGATCGTATATAACTATACAGTGCTAAAACTTTGCCATTTTTATATAGAGTAGTCACGATGTTTGTTATTTTAACCTTTTATATGATGTTAACTTGTATTAGAAAGGCTTATTGAGCAAACACGAGAATGATGGTTGTTTGCTTAGTTCCTGTCCAAGTGGTATTAGGGGGATTTGTAAGAAATTTTAGTAATAATTTTATCCTGAATTTGTAGTTGATATATAAGGTGTTAACAGTGGTTAATCACTTATGTAGCCAGTTAATGATAGTTTTTACCTGAGGAAAAAATTAATTTAAAGCTAGGCACGGGAGAGTGGATTTGTTACCAGGCTTATATAAGGTTGCTACATACTTGCATAGTATATAAACTATCACTACAACCTGTAGTATATAAACTATCACTACTACCGATTGTCTTATGAAATGAGTGGGGGTTGGTACTTTATAGGGGTTTAAGAGTGGAATCAATGATTTGTAAGAAGTAAATGGTCAGTTTAAATATTACTTTAGGCTAAGATGAGTATTCAAGAACAGCCTTAAAGGATCACATGGCCTATTTTTGTCTATATGTTGTGTTTATTTGTTAATTTGCTGAAATGGATACAAAAAAGCTACATTTATTGTACACTGGTGACTTTGTTGTAGTGATAAAAATTGTATATAAAAAATAGAGATAAAAAGAAGGATAGGAATGTCAAAGACAGCATTCTTCAATATTAACTTATTACTCAGGAGATATGTCAAACTAATAAAATGTCAGTCCTGCTCTACTGGGTGTAAATGTGGAACCTTCTATGCTGAAACAAAATGTCGTGGGTGGAAGCATTTTAAATGAGGTTTTACAGACAAATCACGAAAAGAAAAACCACAGAAGTGTTGGATTGCCAAGACACTTATTCTAGTTGAAATTCACCCTGTTAGAAAAATAAAACAATCTTAAATAGAGCCTAGCCTGTGTTTTCTACTAAACTTATGTTCTCTTGTCGTATTGACTTCATAATATAGCATAAAGAAATCGGGGGCCTTTTTCCTACGAATCCCCTGAATAATTTATTTAACTTCAATAAGATCACCTCTTACTCTTTTTTTTCTTAAGAGAAAACAACAAAGTTAAGACACCAAGATAACCCTTCCATCCATGTAACCATTCGAGTAACTCTCCTCCTATAGGATAACCCTTCCATCCATGTGATCATTCTAGTAACTCTCCTCCTACAGGATAACCCTTCCATCCATGTAACCATTCTAGTAACTCTCCTCCTA